ATATGATTTATGCAGTCAAAGTATAATTCAAGAGCAGTTCTACTATAACCTGATTTGTACTGTTTATTTGAACTATAATACAATTATTGAAGGGTTTTTATCACAATCAAGCATAAGCCTGTTTCCATTATCAAGATTTCTTTAGAAGTGATAGTTTGAAAACTGTTTACCGCACCGTGCCTACATTTTAAAGTTATTTTAATGAAATGTCAAAGAAAGTGCTGGAGTCAACATTGTTTCCCTTTTTTTTGGTTGTATTAGGCAGCACTTCCGTCACCTGTTGCTTTGCACTGCTGGTCAGATTGCAGAAAAAAGGCTATTATATTTTTCTATTGCTTACAAGGAAGACAAATTGGGTTGCTTGTAAATATTTCCACCCTGAAAACCAGCGGTCCTGGTGTAGAAAAAAATAAAACAGCTTTGCTGTTGTTAAGGTAACAGATTGTATAGAATTACAAGTATTATACTTAAACATTATATGTATATGTACATTAAAGGTTTGTCATTGCCTTGTATTATTATTATTCAAATGTATTACATATGTTTTCTGTAATTTTTTTTTATAGGAAATTGGAAAGAGGCTTAAATAGGATAAAATACATTTCAATAAGTTTTCATTGTTATTCATTTAAAAAAATGCTGCGTCCGATTTTAACTATCATAAAAATATTATAAAAGATTTATTTTTATGGAAGTTGAGCTTTTCTTAGAATTGCTGAACAGAGCTTCCCATGTTTCTGCTGGTACTCCAGTCATTCAATTTTTTTAATATTTCCAAGATTTTGAGATCGGAACGCCTCCTTTCCATCGCCCTCATCTGTAGGTCTCTTAGCTTTTATTGTTTGTTCCAGTTAGAAAAAAAAACATGTTAATAAGGTTAGAACGTTCAACTAGTTCAGCAGCTTATTTTCCCATGTGTTACTCTATGGAGAAAAAAATTGCCAATGGCTGTTATGTTATACAAACAAAGAGTTCACAGGAAACCTACCACCACATTAGTGGGTGATATTAGAGACAAATGCCTCAAGATCTATTGAAAATAATGAAATATTTGCCATAGATATTACTATTTTGTAAAGCAGGGTTTCAGCGGGTCATTAAAAACCATTAAAAGTCATTAAATTGTTATTTTTAAATTAAGGCCTTAATTGGCATTAAAATTCCTTCATCTAATGTAGTTATAGTGGCATTTAAAATGGTTTATTAAAGAAAAAAAAAAGTTTAAACAATTTCACCAGATATATTACATTAGAATTACGTGGTTCCGCGGAATTGCTTCCTGTTGATCATAAAGTCGTATGTTCGGAAAAGAAGCTTGAGGCTGAGAAAAAGCTAGAGAATAGGGAAAATGCAAATTGAAAAAAAAAGTGGCTGGAAAACGAGGAATTTGGGACATGGATGCAGCCTATCAACTGTAAAGATGATGAAGAATTTTGCCATATTTATATATATATATATGATATATTGATTGCGTTAAAATTATTTCTAAGAACATTAAAAAGCATTAAATTAGAGTAACTCATTGCTGTATAAACCCTGTAAAGGTTAATATATGTATGCATTTGGATTCATTGTTTTTAATATAAAATCAGGTATTTTATATTGCCAAATCTGTGAATTCATAATTTTTTTAATCTCTACCAGATCCATTCATATCATTATAACTTTAGCACATTAAAAAGTTTCTATTTGACATTTTATTCTAGAAAATAATGTCAAATTTCATTTAAAAGGTGCAGTTATTAATGTGTCAGTCTGGCCTCTTTAAAGACCATCTGACGGGTCTGTGATTCACTGAAGCGTCTGGAAATGTTGCAGGAGCTCCATCTTCCACAGCCCATATGCTCTTTAAAAACAATCCCCCGTTGCACCAAGAGGTGACAGACTTCAGCACCACTGATGTTCTGCTTCTTTTATTTATTTATTCATATTTGCTGTTGTTTACCAGCCATAACATGTCCTCCATTGCATTAAGTTTTACAACTGTCAATGTCGTGTCGCTGAGGCAGCTTTTAAAGCTTCTTCCAGCCAAAGGTGGGAAGAGGAAAATTAGCCACGGTGACAAGCCTGAAGCACAAGCAGGGAAGGGGGGGTCAAAGGTGCCAAGCCTTAAGCAAAGGTGCACTAGCCTTTGTCCGGTAGATTGTAAGGGCCTGCGGGTCCAACAGGAACATTTCCACACACAATATCCCCGAGCTGTCAGTGTGCAGCGTCTGGAACATCCTCTCAGAGAGAAAGAGGAGATGTGGAGGGGTGGAGGGGCAGAGGAGGAGGTAGAGGTGGGAGGATGCGAGTTGGTGGTGGTGGGGTAGAAAGGGAATGGTGGCCTGAAGATCCTAGCTGAGAGAAAGTAGGCGGGGGGGTGCGGGGGAGCCAAAAGAGCTGGTGTGGGAGGATAGAGAAATAGAGAGGGGGCAAAATGAGGAGGGAGAGCTAGGGGAGGAAGGAGGAGGGAGGGTATAGAAAGGAGAGACAATGACAAGTAGGGGCTGGCTGGGCACTCACCCATGCCGACAGAGATTGCCATGAGCCATGGCCATTGTTTGAGCGGGTCTCAGCGCAGAGCCTGCTGGTGGGTTTCCGAGTTCGCCAGCGCTTGGCTATAAACTGCTGCAAGGTTTATTTAGAAATGAGAGTATTTACACCTTTTACTGTATTTACACTCACCGTTAAACGGCACCCGGGAGATTTCCATCACACAGCCGCAACTAGCAGGCAGAGCGGCCCTCTGAAAACTGACCTGCTCAGTCATAACACTCCAGTAAACCTCAGCTTCACATGTCCAATATAAAACGCAGCTCAAACTGTGACCTGCAGAAGTGTAAAAACACTTTAGGGCTGCGTTGTTACGGCAGGCAGGAGGGAGAGAGCCTGTATGTTTAACAAAGTAAATGTCTATTATTAATACCATACAGGATAAGCCAATTTTGAAAAAAGGGGGCACTTAAATGGTGATATTATTTATTTATAAGTCCTGTACACCAGTTAATGGAATTGGCGGCCTGCTTTAGAATCCGCAACACAGCTTGAGGTCCACTTCTGAGTAATGCACATGCTAAGAGAGGACCTTCCCAGTAGGGTCTTTAAGTGTCAAATGTGGGTCAGCCTGCTTGCGTTGACCTGAGGGGGGTGGTCAGCAGCAGAGAGAAACTCAGCTGTTAAGTGATGCCAACTCAACCATCGGCAAATTCCTCCAAGCATCTACTCATGCTAAGATGCACGTCCAAGTTTAGTTCTGCACTGGCCAGCACTGCTCTGTCCAAAAGCACAAAGTGAATAAATCCATTTATGCTTGTCATGAACTCTAAACAAAACCCAAGCAGAGTTGAGACAGTTTTTAAGGCTCTGAAGTTTTTCTTCTTCAAAAAAAAAACATTTTTTTTGTTGTTTTTTTTAACTGGCTCTAATGCTTAAGAAATGTAAACTCTGCTCCTTGTGTTCTTTTTTTTGCTTTAACTTTAATCAGTTTATATATATACATGCTGTAAATCTATTGTTTTTTCTTAAGGTCATTTTCCTATCTTCTTAACTGCTACTTGTACATTCTTATAAAATGCAAAATAGAAAATACATTTATGTAAAAAAAAAATAATTATTACTTTTTAGAGCAACCCTTTCGTTTCAAAAACAACAGCAGGCTGTAAACGATTTAGAAGCTGAAAATTTCATGCATTGTTTTTTGCTAAATTGCTCAAAGTTAGTTAATAACATACAGAGAAGCAGTACTGTTGCATGATGCTATATAACTCTATGTAGGTATTCTGACCACAATACAGTCTGTTTGCTGTTTCTCCTATGAGCAAATACAAGATTTAGTCTTGTGAATTCATTTAAGCTTTCTTCTGTCTACTTATTTTTACTTCTGACACACCCGAATCTCCCCAAACAATAAAGGTATTTTTATTAAAACCAAAACAGAAAGAACCGTAACGCAGGTATTAAACATGCTTTGCATGAAGTCCACATTTCTGTATTATATATGTATTATTTATTGGTCTGATATTGTATTCTGGACTCTGTTTTTCTTGGCTGTAGGGAAATTAACATAATTAACAGAAATAAAGGTTCAAAAAATCATCAGTCTGCGTGTATTTATATTATTTGTTTAACTCAGTAAATTGAATTACGAAAATAATAAAAAATTTATGAAGATGAACCTGTATAGAGGGCTTCTGGCAAACAGTATGACTTTGTTTTCAGGATTGCTTTATTCCCTTTTGTGGAGCATCTCACATATAGCTGTCCTCTCAGCAGATTCGCCCACCTGAGCTGGGAATCTCAGCAGCTCCTCCAGAGCTACTGTCAGCTTCTTGGCTTTTTGTTTAATTAGTTTTGCCTCGGTAGGTCTGTATATGATCCATACCCACATGATTGATTTCAACAGAACTCTGTGAGATTTTTAAAGTTTTAAATTTATCCCTGGAATGTTTCCTGGCCTTTTGATGATGTTTATTTATTCCCGTTCCTGGTAAAACATCTAAAGCCTCCCACAGAAGAGCTGTAATTAATTAAACATCTCTATTTACCAACAAGATGATGTCTGAAGTCAAATGGTTGTGCTGGGTTTTTATTTTTGGGTGTCAGGTTATAGCCGGGATACATTAAAATAAGCACCTGGCTTTTCAGTTTTGTATATATAATGACAAATGAAAAACATGTATCATTTTCCCTCTACTTCACCGTTCTGCACCACAGTGTGTTCGGCTGTCTCATAAAATCCCTATAAAATTCACAGGGTTTTGTTATTGTAATGTGACAAGATGTGGAAAAAGTTCACAGAGGTTTTATGCATTTGCATGGCAGTGTGTAACTTTATATTTTAAACATGTCTCAATTAACGGCTCAGGTTTTATTCAGCAGATAATGCCATCTTCCATCTGTGTTCCGTTATTGCACTCTTGTGACATTTTTTTTAGCACCGTTGAACCAAGAACCGGGGTAGTATGATTGCTCCTCTGATCCCCATCTTACCTCCCTGTCCTGCCTTACATCCCTCACAGGAGCAGCGAGGCCCCCCTGAGCTGTGTGGTCACCGATAGCCCGGCAGAAACGAGCCCCGAGATGCAGCGCTGCGTAGAATGGCTCCAGGCGTACTTCACCGAGCCGCAGACCGCTGGGAGTCTCCCGCTCCCTGCCTTTCACCACCCCGCCCTGCAAGGAGGTCTGTCATGGATAAATATTTGTAGAGCCGTGACTGGGATCAGGCTTTCACTCTTAATTGTCAGTTACATCACTTACACTCACTGGCTCACTGTGTTATAATGAAGTATTTTATGGCTGAGAGGGAGAGTGGAGGAAAGTGGGTGGTGTGTGTGTGTGTGAGCGGCGGAGAGAGAACAGAACACAGAGCTGTAACTTGGTTCAGTAATCTGTGGCAGCTCTTACCACGCGTGTTAGTCTTGGCAAGCTTTTTCATGATTCTTGGCACATTCTTTGAAACTGATCGAATTCCACTCTTGACATTTACAGACAGGAAGCTTTCTTTTCTTTTTCTCTCTGTCTTTTTTTTTTTTTAGATGAGAACATGTGAATGGTGTAAAGTTTGAATGAGCTTATTGTTGGCTTGATCAGTCACTTAGGGTGTGTAAAACAGCGGCCCAGAAAACTGGACAATTAGAGCAGGAGCTTTGCTTGAAGAGGTTATGATAGAGAAGCTGAGGAATAAAAATGAAGGATTAAACGTCTTTGAAGGTTTTTATTTTTGCACACACAATTACTGGACCCTTATGTTTGAAATCAAATTAGAAAGTTCTTTTGTCAAATGGAATTATATTTTATTAGTTTTTTTTTATTCATAGTGATTCTCATCCAGTTTTAATTTAAACATCTTTGGATAAGAGCATTTATCCTCACATATAAAATATCTCAGGTTTTCTAAGTTTTGGCCTGTTTTCCTTTCAAAAAGGAGTAATCCTTTGCAGCCTTTAATAGGTTTTCATCCATGATTTTCTTCCAGCTCCCTGCTAAAGAAAGGTATCCCACAGCATGATGCTACCACTGCCATGTTATATGTTCACCATGCAAAGCATGATAGATAAGTGGTCTTACAGTGACTAGCTGTTCTTGCAGAGTAATTAGGGAAACTGAAGAACAAGAATTAAGAATCAATCAGCCTTGGTGTTTTTGTTTTTATGTCAAACTGATTTTTGAAAATTAGAAAGTCTGTGGTGTTTATAAAACTATTCATAATCCTTTTAGTTGTTTTAACTGATGCCCTTATTGCATTTCTACATAAAGATTTTCAGAACAGATCATTTAGTCCCACATGCACAGAAAAGGAATGCCTAATATATGCATTTAACAATTGTTCCTCCCTTCCCCGGCAATCAGGCTTTAGTTGCTCTCTAATTTCATGCAGATCTGCGGTACTTGAGTGATGGCATTTTCAATGAGCAGGTACTCCGTCGAGACCCTGTATACAGCTATGAGTCCCGCAAAGGCAACGCAGAAAATACATCAGGACCAATTACGATATCAACTTTCAGTGTGATTCCCTTCGCCACCAAGTGCTTGTGTACCAGCCCCGGGCTCTTTCAAATCACATCTCATCTGAAAGTCTTTGGGGTTTTAATTAAATTTCAGGATAGATGGAATTCTTCATTAGTACCTGATCTGAATAGGTGATTGTGGCGTGTTGCACCTCTTCCCCCCACTTGCCTTTTGTTTTGGGGCTACGTAAAATACAAGGTTTAGTCTTAGATTGCTCTCAGTAGTCAGAACCACAGGCCAAACTAGGGGAAAAATGTTAAATGTGAGCATCAGGAGTATTTGTCTTTTGAGGGTAAAAGAATAATTAATTTCTTGTTTTCTGTTTTTCAAAAAAAAAAATACTGAATTGATTGAGCTTTTATGGAGTATACATTCCGTCTATTTGGAGTCATGCTGCTGCTAGCGGTCTGCAGGAAAGACTGGGATAAAAAGAACAAGTATAATCAGGTCATTACAATCTGTGACAACCAACTTTTGTTTGCTCTGTTATCTTTGGGGAGAACCTGAACGCGACAGCGCTCTCGCAGCACTTGTCATGTAATATTGAGTTGTGACCTTCACTTGAAGTGTTGCCATGTTTATTTACACATTTCTGACAAAACAAGCCACTTTTCATATTAGCTGTCATGGCATACCTGAGAAACAGAGGTGACATGAAAGGAGATTCGAGGCGTAGTTCCCTATATCGTCTGACTGTCACGCACAACATCACACGGAAGTTTGGCCAACAGGGGTAAAGGAACGGTGAGAGCGTGTTACGCTCAGTTAGATTGTGTGTGTGTGCTCGCATTTGCTCCCTCGGAAAACCACAGACACCAACGTGGGTTCTTAAAATGATGCATATTCTTATCTCATTAATTATACATCCATATGTAACAGACGAGAGGATCTTAGTCTCGGTAAGCGGCACGGGGAATGTGCTGGGAGGGGGGCCGGGCAGAGCGGGAGAAGGGCGCTCTTCAAAGCCCAAATGACTGTGTTCCTGCAGGAGCCTGAGCCTCCCCCTGTGCACAGCGTAGGGCGAGATGAGACACTCACCAGGACTCGCCCCTGTGATGTGGAGAGGAATTAGGGAAATGAACGTTTTCAGAATATCGAATAATCAGAGAATCATCAGCACCCCGTCAGCCTTCAAAAGTATGGATCCCTGAAGACTCAAGAGACACTTTGACTGGGAGTCAAAGTCTTCTCTCCCATTAGACACAAAGGATAATGAGGTAGCTGCATTTCCACTATTGTCTTTTTACTCTCACAAGCTTGTAAGAGGTGACTGTCAGCTGGAGGTCGTCTCTCCAAATCTGTCATTAGCAGGGCTGATGGAAATCAGTTTACAGCTTTTTTTTTTTCCTCCTCAAGATTGCTCTCATATACAAAATTATGAGCAAATCAATCATATATGTCAATACCCTCATAATCACTAGATGTGTTCGATTTTTTTCCAAGTAAATCTATCTCTGCTGCTGCTGGAGCAGCACCATCACCTGGCCTCACAGCAGGTAATGACCTGTGACATGATTATGGGCCGTCTATAAACATGTAGGTGGTTTCCCTCAAGTTTTATTTAAACAATTGACATCACTGCACCCCAATCTAAAGAGGGTCCTGACCCCCAGACACACCGTATTAGGCTCTTTATGAAGTATGGGGCTGGGGGACCGCTCTCTGAATCACCACTGGTCACCTTCAGCGACCTGCATGAAGTGTCTGTCACAAACACTGATGAGGGCAAAGTTCCTTAACCTCTGTATAGCAGATAAAAGAACAGACACTTGTTTTCCAGCTCAACCTGCTCTAAGAAACCAGATTCGTGAAAAAGTGTTATGAGGGGAGATATACCAATCATGCTTTTCTTTCCTGATTTCCTGTTTGTTTGTTTTTCTGTGAGGTTTAACCGACTATTTCCATTTTTATTATATTTTCTTCCAGGGACTAGGATACAAAGGTTAGTGACCAGTTTAGAAGCATACAGAGAAGGGATAAATTTTATTATGATCATATGGTTGCACAAAGTCCTTACCTCTTATTTGATTTTTATTAAGCTCAGAACATCAGAACAAAGCACATAATAAATGTTGTGCTGTTGGTTGATGCATCTCCTGACTGAAAATCACTTATATTTGTTTTAAGATTTAACAGGGAAAAAAAACATCAAATTTTTCCGTTTTTGGCCAATTGGAGCAGATCAAAAACTAATCTAGACAATAAAGCAGTGCACTAATTACAGGATTTATTTTAAGGAATAAGAAAGCACAGATTGTGGTTCTCTGAATTGTTGCTGTATCTCAAAAATGTGGTTATTATTATGCAGTGACAAAAGTAACCATAACCATCTACTATGAGTATGTGCTCATCTTAATTCTCAGAGAATTGTTTTGTTTTCCATCCTTTCTTCTCTTAAAAAAATTATGGTGCTTTTTTTTTTTTTATAAAAAGTGCTTTAAAACAAGGATGGTATGATGATATTGAAATGATGCAATAAGAACTGCTGGAAAGATTTGATTCTAACTCAATTAACTGTCTGCATCTGACAAATTGCTGACTTAATTTGAATGTTTTAGCATTTGAAATTCGAATGCTTTCTAGTTAAAATTGTAAACAGTCAAGCTGGTATCTTTATTTCGATGTAGGCTCACTAAAAGGAAAAAAAGCAAAGTTAATCTCGGTTTTCAGTCTGAGGCACAATGCACAAAAAAGCAAAGCAGTCATTGATGACATTAGTTTGACTTTCCAAGTACTTTCCCAGAGTCAACAATTCCAGATCTATGTTAGAACTGGAAGAGTATTATTTTTTGGATTGATTTTACAGAAATAGGTTTCCTCCAACTTCTCTGAGTGTCACAGTTAAATAAAAGTGATGGACTGTTCCTTCATCATGATTTATCATATGATTACACCTGTAACGAAATGGGCTACATTATACATCATTGACTGTAGAAGATGTTAAAAGAAAAACAAATATTGGCCAATTAAGCATAAAGTCCACTGCCTACTCTATTTGTATAAGAAAGTTTAAAATCAAAGTAGTTTGGCTTGAAAACTAGGATTTCAGTAGTCATTAAAAGTTTGGGAAGGTGCTTGATAGCCTAGGTAAATAAGCACACATACTAAAGCTGTAAAGCACCAGTTTAAGTCTACAAAGTTGTATTTAACTTATTTAAGTTTGTTTGATAATCTATAAAATAATATAGGTTACTCAAAATCTGTTCATTCTTCAAGTTTATTCATAGTATGTCCCCGAAATCAACTTCTTCATACTTGAGAAAAGCAGCATTAATAGCAATGTAGCTTGCTGCTAGGTTGATGCAGATTTTGTTTGTTTGCATCAACAGGGGTTTGTCATTACCTGATGGCAGACTCTAATCTCCTCATCAGTGACAAAGCGATATCAGGATTTGCCTCAGACATCACCAGGTCAAATCCGAGCTACAGCTGGGAGAGTGAAAAGCATGAAAAGGAAAAAAAAATTTGGGGAGGCGTATCTTATCTCCTCACAACATTAATGCTGTCTGCGTAAGAGCCCGTCATCTCGTTGACAGTGTGATTATTACCTGAAAAATTATTAAACAGTACCTACGGGCCTTGTTCAAGACAAAGAACTCACATGGGTGTGCATCAATCAAACGTATCCCCTTTAGGTTTTACACTTATTCCCCCCAGTTTAGGCAAATTGCCTTGTTCGCGTGGCTTTGTGTAGCAGAGAGTGACTATAAGGTAGCAAGGGAGCCTGGGGAGCAAAGGATGTTCGCTCTGTAGAAGAGAGACAGGGGTGTGACATGTTTTCACACAATGCCAATTTAGAGGGATTTCACATAGATCAGTTGTCATGTGCTCTCTTAGACCATATAAATGAGAGAGAATGGGAGATCACTAATTGAATTTTCATGACGGAGTACATGTGTATACTAGAAGAATTTCACCCAGTCTTGATAACGAGACTATTGTTCCCCGTCTTGTCCTGTGTGCAAAAAAAGAAAAGTGTTTTTCCACTGACTACACAAGCTGAGTGCATCAGTGTCTCAAGCTTTCAAGATGCTTCAAATACTTTTCTCCTTCTTCGGCAATCAGAGCAAGACAAACATGCCTCTCAGTCACTGCCTGGTAATCCAGAAAAAAGAGAGAAAGATAATACTGCTGCTAAAGTGCTAATGAAATCAAAGCCGTTAATATGGTCGGTTAAGCTGCGGATGATTTGAAGAATTCCGCCATTTAAGTGAAGATGATATAATGAATCTACTCTGAATAGAAAGCAATTAAAAGGACAAATTGGTCTGATTAACCTCAAAGTCATCTCACTGCCACAAATGGTTTTTGCAACATTCAAATTATTATTATTAAAAATCTGGAGCAGATTTGCAGTCTTTTTGGCCCCTCTTAATCCTTTTAAATGAAGGAGCGAACTTTTTTAATTTTAGCTGTGACCTTTCCGAAGCATAACCTAGATTTTTCTGCCATAGGAATAATTTTCTCACGTCTGCTGGTGTAGCATGTTAATACTGGTTCTAAGGTCAAAGAGGGGGGACTTCTTAGTATTTAATTTTTAATGAGTGTTGTGAAGAATAAAGAGAGACAGGACATTCTGCTATACATTAAGTGCTACACCAGGCCATATTTTCTACTGTTTAGATTAGAAGAGTTCAACTAATGTTCAAAGCATCTTGGTGTTTTCAAATCTCAGACAGATTAATCTCTCCTTTTCTTTTCTTTCTCTCTTTCCTCTGCCGCGTGGCGAAGACGCCTTCACCAGCCGCGTGCTGAAGGTTCTTCTGAGTGACGTGAAGTTTGGAGAGACGGTCTCGTATAAACGCCTCGCTGAGATGGCGGGAAACCCCAGAGCGGTGCGGGCGGTGGGAGGGGCCATGAGGAGGAATCCGGTAAGTGTAGATGACATTGATTGACAGGCTTCCATCTTTACTTAATTTATTCAAGCCAAAAGGGACAATAATTGGTTAGAGAGTGTAGCTATATACTGCAAAAAAAAAAACTGAAAAGATAGAATAAGTAATTTATTAATCCTTTCTAGACAATTTCAATTGTGAGGAAGTTTAGAAAGACTTTCAGAAGTTATATTTGAAACCTATTATTATTATTATTATTATTATTATTATTATTATTATTATTATTATTATTATTATTATTATTATTATTATTATTATTATTATCAATAGTACTATATTTATTATTTTATATTAAAAAAATATTGCAGGAATGATTATCTGGAACTAAAGTGCTTTGTCATATATTTTTAAATGTTTTTTGTGTGCAAAAAATGCATTTTCTTAGATATGTTACAGTATAGAGTCCAAATTTTATACTCTATTTGCAGCTTTAAAACATTTAAATAGAAGAAATAAATCACTGCATGTTTTTGTAATATTTAACATAGTGAATAACTATATTTGATTTAATATTGACAAAAATATTTTTATTTTAGAAATGTATCTTTATTTTTTTAAATGAATTATTATTATTGTTTTAATATTACTATTATTATTTTAGACTTAAGCAATATTTTAGATTTGAAGCTGCTAATTTTATTAATTCATGTCCTTGTGCAGAATCTCTACAGTCGGATTTTTCTTTCTGGTATGTAAGGGATTGGTTGACCTTCCCTTAGCTGACCTTAAAAATACTGAACATGCAGAGGATATGACCTCAGTTCAGCATACTGACCAGAAGCAACAAGTGGGAGAGGGGCAGAGCATTACCTATATCCAGTTTTAAAACTTGGGTGACTAAAGCAGTTTCTCTGGCATACTGTTAAATGTGGGAACAGTATGACGGGATTTTATTTTCAGTTTTTAACCCTAAAATCTTTAACTTGTCCATTATAGATGCTAACTTATTTTAAGACCAATGTTTTGTAGTTTTTATTATTTTGCTTTTGCTTTCTACAGAGATGCTATTTCCACAAAAGAACTTGTGTAAAAGTTTTCTAAACCGTAGGTCTCCTCCGCTAGATGCAGGCAACACCTCCCTGTGAGAGCAGGAGTAACCTTACCTCCAGTGCAACGTTTTCCTTTTTTTAAAGCCCACACCCTTTTGTTCCTGCTCTCTGCTGTCTGTAATGTTCACTGCAAATCTCCGATCCTTGTAGGAAACCTGGTCCGCATCGTTTTAACCACCAATCCACTGTGTACAAAATGGAAGGCCAGAGGGCAAGTGGTGTGTCTTCTTTTGATCAGACCCTTTGATCAAAGCCTGTTTAACTCTGCCCATGTAGTGCTGTGGGCACCACCGGTGTGCACGGTGAAGACAGAGAGCACCTCCTGCATTATCTCCTTATATGCTCTATAAATTGCCACATTGGAAATCTTCATCTCAATGCTTTTATTATCATCTGCTGCTGTAAGGAGTTTAGATTTTTAACAAAAAATGAATTAAAAACCTGCAGCTTTCTGTCAGCATTATGGCCAACTTTGGCTTTTAATGCACCGCCTTTAATTCTCCATATACTTTACACTGTGCAGTAGCCAGTGGCAATGCTGTTATATAGCTGTATAATAGTACTCAGCCTCATGTTTTACAGACATTTCTTTCCTTTCGCCAGGGAGGCTGGGAGCCTGAGCCCTTAGCTCCTGATTCAGATCCAGAGTCAGATTGTCAGTGTCAATTACTTGTCAGTAGCACTGCTCCACTCGGGCTTCAGCTGTGAAAAGCTCAGTGTGCTCAATCGATCCTTGCCTCTCTGTGGCACTTCTTCACCAGGATTTGAGTATTGATAAGCCTGGTGTAGTGCTCTTTTTCCCCCCTATGTGAAGAGGCAGATCCGAAGGCCTTGAGGGTACCCCGCTCTGCCTCCAAACCCGGGGAACAGTATTGATCCGAATACGCGAGCAGTATTTCTCTGTCTGCAAGGTTAATCTGGGACTCAGAAAGTTTTATTGCTGTTGATATGGAAGAGGGTTTAGTGATGGATTTTAACTGAAACACACTGCTTGTCCAACTTTTCGTATGAAGGGCTGCGAGTGGAGCCATCAATTCAGTGCACAGCTCTGTTAAATTAGAGGGATGCAGCGACTGTGCAGCAGTGGTTTGGGATGTTTTTCCTGTTCGTGCAGCTCGAACAAAACGAGGACAGAATTTACAATATTTTAAAAACAGACAATTCCAGCGGTTCACGCAAACTATTACTGCTTTCCTTGTTCCGATTCACAATGATCGAAGTCTTTTAGGCTTGCTTGTTTAATCTTTCTCCAGCCATTTAGTTTACAAAGAACTCGGGACCCCCCTGGCAGTCGTCTGCAACAAGAGTAAACGCTCCACCGACTTCCTCTTTTTAATGATCACAGGGTTATCAGATCTTAATGTTGACACCCTCTCGATTGAATATTCATCCTGCTGGTGTTTTTGCCCATTAATTTTTGATTGCTTCTTTGCTTTTCACTATTAAAGGGTGAAAAAAAAACATTTATATCCTAAGACTAAGCTATCACCCTGAATGTGAATTTGTGCAGCATCAAACCAAATAGTTCTGGTGTGGCACTTTGTTTTTGTTTTGTTTTTTATGCAGTGCAAGAACATGAAAAGTGAAAAATAAATCAGAAAGGTGCAGTTCACATCCTCTGCATGTTTGGTACCTTTTAAGTCATGAAATCCTTTCATTTATTATGTATCCCTGCTATCTTTTTTTTACTTTTGATTTGCTGTGACAATGAATGCTAAAGTGTGACCTGAAGACATGCATTGCTATTATTTTTTTTATTTATTGTCTGTTTTTCTTTGATGAAAACATGTTTTTCAGCTTTTTTGTATATAAATGAAATAATACAGATTTAAAGAAAATCAGAATATAACTTAAAAGTTACCTTAGCATGAAAGTGCTGCAAAAATTTTTTGGGAAAAAAAGCAAAACAGCTCTTTACCCTCAGAGTATCATACTTCCCCCTGTCCATCTGTGCCAGGTTCCTCTCCTCATTCCTTGTCACAGAGTCATTTCCAGCTCTGGACAGAGTGGGCCGTACATGAGCGGCAGGGGCGACCACCTCAAACAATGGCTGCTCACCCATGAGAGGCAGAGAGGGGAAGGCTGAAGCATGACAGAGCCCGACTGTCCTTCATTCAGAGCACACACACACAATCCCTTTTTTATTTAAGAACACAAAACAAGGCTATAAAGTTAGGCATCTTGGCACATACTGTGGAACAACTGGAATTACTTGGAAGTAGTCACTATAGTGCTTTCTTTTTTTTTTTATCTAAGAATAGAGATACTGCATCGTTAATGCGATACAGAATTGTTGCAGAATTAGATTGTAGCAAAAATAACTTAAACAGAGAACAGTAGGAATTACAAACATATGCTCCCGTGGGTCCTCGTTGCGTTTGCCAGATAGTGCTGGAATGGTTTTTCTAAAGCATTATTATTCCCTTAAAAATATGTCTCATGCATTGTTGTTGTTGTTGTTGTTGTTTTCCTTAGCAGAATTAGTCTTTGTACCTCTCGTTGGTTTTTTAATTTCCTGCCAAGTGAATGCTTTGTTCAACATCCAGTGATAAAGGCTCTGAATTTTATGGCTACAAAGCTTTGTAGTGAAGCATTTGTTTAGTCTTCGTTTAGATCTCATTGTTTGTTCTCGCCTTATAATCCACCTAGAGTGGAGATGTCTTACGTTGTGTATACTGTACTCTCCTTACGTTTATAAGTGTTGAAATAAATGCATTTCAAAATGACAAATCTAGCCTTTTCTTTGATTCAATTTTGTTTAATTTAGGCAGCGGTTTCTTATAAATTGTGATCAGTTCGCCTCATTATTAATTATGCTTTGTGTCTTTTCTTCCCTCGCTGTCTGACTTGTCAGAGCTCCTTCTTTTATTTCTGAGTGGGCTTTTCCATTAGAGGGCAGTACAGAACGGGAAACAGAAAATCAACATTTCAACCTTGAATTTATCCGCTGCATTTAATCTGTAATTTAAATGTTTATGCCTTATTTCATTATCATCACAAACCTGTTTAATCCCTGTTGGATAAATTCTTTTTTTCTTTAAAGTCAGCATATGTGGTTTTGTGCATGTTTAGAGAAAACAATTATTACTGAATGTGCCTTAAACTCTTACTTCCTGTTTTTTTTTTTCTTCTCACATTAATCTATTGTAAGAGTTACAGTCTGAATTCCTGATTTACATCCCTCGCTTCTGCTTCAAAGCCACCCTAACTTGCTCATAGTTATTCCTATTCTTTTTAGTCCAGGTAGCCTAATAATGCACTCTCCAAAAATAACCCTGGCTCTAACCTTTACAGAACCAATTCTTGTGGCCCGCCTACTGAATATATTTGAACTTTGCTGCATTTTTTGAATCTTCTTATCTGCCCAGATTCGGAGCGGCTGTCTCGCTGCGCTCACCGGACTCGGTTATTCTGCCATAGGAGCAACATCGCAGCGTAAATGTTGAGGCAGCAGACAGGCAGATGAAGAATGAGACTCAGTCTATGGTTTCACAGAGGGCTAATGATGCCTGTGGTGACTACAGGCTACAGTCAGCCCCCTAACGAAGGGAGCTGTGACACAGCCACAAGGGGTCCCATTTAAGCCAGGCGCACTCTGAAGTGCACTGTAAGCACCCTCTTTTTTTTTGCTAGTGGCCAAGTAAATTCTATGGAATGGCATGAATTTAGAAAGCAGAGCGACTGAAGTCTTTACTGTTTTACGGTTGATGTTTAACAACAAGTCTAGCATCAAAGCCTCAAACATGCTGCCTGTAATTGGCTCTGTAATTTACGTAGGTACCCAAAGAGTCCCTCTAAAAATAACCACATCATTAATTTCTCAATGTCCGTACATTTTTATCAAGGTATTTTAATATTTCTTGTAAGTAACAGATAGGTTATAGTAAAGTTTTCATACGTTTGACATATTTTCCGTCACCTTCAAATAATTTAGGCTCAGAGAAAAAAAGAAATCACTATATAGAGTCTCATCTACATTGTTAATCTCTGGAAAAAGAACTTCAATGTTTTTTTTTCCCCACATACCTGCCTCTGTTTCACAAAGAGACTGCACGGGTGCACGCGTAGGGGCTGTTGTGCACGTGGGTGCGTGAGAACGTGGCCATGGATGCTGGTGTGTGCACATGTGTATGTCCATATGTGTGTGGGTGAAGTGGATGATATTGAGTCTGACTTCATAAATCACCCAGACACTGATAAACTCCCCATGCACCCACACACCGCTAATGGGCAACCCTTAAGGAGTGTGAGTGTCTCGTGCGGCGTTTGATTCAACATTTATTAACCCCCTCACACACACACACACACGTACATTTTCTCTCTTTCTTTTTCTCTCTCTAACACACACACACTTATTTGAGCCCCTGAAAAAGCGGGGATACGGTTGGTGGCATCCGTAACATCAGTGCGGGGTTCTGACCTGGCCGGGCTGTATTAATCACAGCCCAATACTAGGTAAGATACATTTCGGGTTATACAAGCTGCAGCAGAGACAACAACAACAACAGCCTCTGCATTTCCTAACATTAGTTTCCTTCTCATAACTTATATCCTGTCTCCAACTCCCCACTTCCCATCTCATATCCTGGCACCCCTCCTCATTATAGAACAATTTTCTGCCCCCACATCAAACACAAACACTCTGTGCTTCCATCTCCTTCTCTTCATACATGTCGGCTCATAATTCTACCGTTATCACAACCTGCACCCCTTTGGAGCAAGTTGCAAAGCTTAGAGGGGCCCCCTGCAGAATTAATGACACAGTCGCACTGCTGATTTCATAAATAGCCATTCTTCCAGAAGAAGTTTGTGTGCTTAAGATATATAAAGTTACAACTTTCTGGTGCACGTTAGGCTCAGTTACAGGCAGCGCAATGATGCAGAGTGAGCCAGAGGAGTATCCAGCATGCAGATAGGCAGCCCTCAGAATTCAGACAGACAGACATTGGGATAGATAGCTGGATATACAGACATTAGACTGGGTTTTTGGCTGCCATATCAAGTTTCCTCCCCCTCTGTCTGTCTGCCGGGACGGCCTTTTCTCTGAGGCCCTGACACCGAGGCACCACACAGCCAGCCACGACAGCTGCCACAGCAGCATCTAATACCAACACACTCCATGCTCCGCCGCCACTACAAAGAGAACCATCGTTTCAAACATGGCACACTTTGATGCTCTTGTAATGATCTTATTTTTTGTTGTTTTGAGAGAGAAAGCAGGAGGACGTAGAATTTGTATCATGCCCTTTTTTTTAATGCTTGTTTCTTGAGAACAAAGAGACTGCTCTCTACAGCTGCTGGTTGAAGATTAAGTGAGGAATAAAAAAAAAAAAAAAGAAAACTCTCTGTGGTATCAGCATGCAACTTTGTGCATATATGTAACCTTGTGTCAGTGAGAGACCAAGCACTGGTTTTGGCCTCTCTGATTAGGAACGGCTGACGAATGGCCGTACATTACGTTAGAGCGATTACCTTGGAGTGTGCACGTATCAATCTGTGGCTGTGCAGCCGGCTTGTCAGCGTAGTTAAGGAGGGTGTCTCAGCCTGGAGAAAGTGCAGGTCTAGCCTTGGTCATGTTGATGGAGGGGCGGCACTTTAGAGGCTCCAGGACCCCATGGCACCAGTCTCCCCAGTCCCCCAGACAGACTGGGAGCATCTGGGCTCTGTCAGCGCCTCTGGCCCCTGCAGACTGCGATCTATATGACGGGAGAGAAGAGTGCAATGGATCAGGCCGAGGGAAAATATGAGCCAGATTCCTCTGCCTTGTGCTAAAGATATGCTGTGTAGCGTGTAATGTGGATGTGTGGCTGCATTAAAGGGATACTTTAGGATTCTTCAAGTGAGCTTTTGTCAGAAGGTTATAAGCTGCTAAAATCTGACCTGCTCTAGGAAACTCTACTTGTGTCTTCATTTAGGATAAATTCAGATTATTTTGACCTGCAGGCTAAAGCGATAGACCAAAAATTAAACGGACTTCTGCTATCTCAGATCGATTCCAGATTGAAAATACATTGTATTCAATGTGAACAGTAGTTTTTATAAACCTGGAGTAAATCATCATATATGCATTTTGTGGGTATTTACAGAGAAGTGGGTGATTATTTATATGATAAATGGAGCAAATAACCATGCTTTTTGTTTTGTTTTTTCTTGTTACACCACTTTTGAATCAGGCAGTTACTCTGATCAGAAATGACCCAGATTGGATTTGCATAAATAGGCTAATGTTGCCACCTTCATCTATTAAATTTGTTTGAGCAATTATCCAGTTTCTAAAATGTTTGTAAATCGTTCACGTTTAATAACTTAGCAGCAATTGATGATGGGAGGTTTTATTTACAGCACCTGTTAAAAACTGAGGCAGAAATGGTCCTGAAGGATTTGTTTAAAAAAATTGCATACACCTACCTAAACTTTTTGACGACTGATCGGATGATATGAAATAGACCTGAGGAAGATTGGACACAGCGTGCCCATGTTATTCCAGGGCTAAACCAGAGGGTTTTTTTTCTCTGGCCCAGTTCCAAGTGGTATTAGGAAAGAACCAGTTTTTGTGGTCAAAGATGGAGCTTTTGATGACTGAAACATAAAGAACTTGTGCATTTCACTCAGCAAGATCACGGATGCTGCAACACCTTGTAACAAAATCTTTCATCTAATTAATCATTTGTGTCTACAGTAGGTAAATAAGCCCCTGATGCTAACAGAGATGTCTGCAGCTTGAAAGAATCAAAAATAAATTACGGTACATATAAACAGCTAATGTTTTTATTTAATTTAATTGAAGTCATTTTAATTTAGAATTTTTTGTAAGCCCGTCTTAGACTGGATGTTAGCTTAGCCTTTGGGACAGACTTATAGAAGGAACGTGCCAAGACAGTTTTACACTGCAGGTAAAATGGTAACCGCTTATAACCTCTTAATAACACCTTACTTGGAAAATCCTAAAGTATTGAGGCCCTGATTACAGTTCATAAAATTAATTTTGTAAGGTTTAAAAATTAGTTTATAGATTGGTGCCTGGTACTTAAAAAGACCCTTTTATTAACTGTCCAATTAGGACTTAATTAAAAGCATGGTCCTAAATATGTGCAAAGCTGGTTCAGAGCAAAATCAACATCAACATACGTCTGATAGAAATCACTCCAGAGTTCCCTTATGAAAGAGAGCAATGATTTGATAACTCCAAAGCTCTGCCACATGGAAACTGATACCGTCGCTCGCCAACACTAATTAATCCATACACTGAATTAAGAATATAAATGGTGGTCCCATTTTAACAAGGTCGTTTTAACTTCTCCTTTTACACTTTAACTGCTTAGGAAAAGAGAAAACAGGAAAAAAAAAAAAATATCAATGTGTTTCGCTTATTATGATTGACGATTGATGATTAAGTCCTCCAGCTGACACACACCACCAAAGCCGGTGAGTTGGAATTGGATGTGACACATACACAGTTCTGCATGTTAGGTAATTCGTTGACGAGGGGCCAAATTCATTTATGGAACAGCGGTATTGGCAGGCGTGGACACTCTCTGCAAAAACAACGATAATCACAGAGGTTTGGCGCGGCGTGACAAGGACTCTTCAGGGAAAGGCCCTTACACGCTGCTTTGTTGGCCGTCCCTCCCTAAGATGGAGGGAAACATCCGCCGCTTGGTCTTAAGACGAGAGCTGCACTGGAGAGGTTTTTGTTAGGTGTGGCTAAATTCAATAAAACA